TCCTTGATTTCTAACGAACAGAAAGAGATGAGGTATCTTTATGCTCCACTAACGTCAGCCTCGTTAGAACTCTGCCATGTGTGACAGTAAGGCTCATCCTGCTCGCGGGTGGAATAGCTTTCGGCCTGTCACTGTTCTGCAGTCCTTTAGAGACCGGATGGCTTTTCAATGTTGACTTAAAACATGTACAGGACGGTCTTTTAGTCCATCTCAACCTGCTCCATATTCCAGCTCTCGAAAAGTACTGAGTCCTTATTGTCCACTTATATTTTATGCACTGTTTCGATCAACAGACGAATGGTGCTTTTGATAATCTGGTAAACTATTTCGTACCCCACAATACTCTTGGGGTCGGAAACCCATTAGCTTTGCAATGTCCCCAACTATTGCTTCTTTGATTCTAGGACATTGTTTGACGTGATCCGATGTGAGATTAACGTTTCGATTGCTGCCTGGCGTTCAAAGTTTCCGTACATGACCTGCGGTATTAGCTATCCCAGTGGCTTGGCTTATGGCAAAGATCTACGTCTGGACTATTGATCTAGCTCCGTACAATGGATTCCGGCACATGCTTATCACTATTGTTGGAAGTCATAAGCTCCTTTAGTGGGCACTCTTACTAATCTACCCCAAAATCCTCTTTCCCACATAACTTCTGCTCTGAGTTGTCCATCTATACGTCCGTTCGTCCACATTTTTACTTGCCGTACTGATTTGCTCTTATTTAGAGTCTCTTTCCGTAGTACTGCGTCTTGGGCTCCATACTTTGCTTTGCTTTCAAACCATGATGATTTGATTTTCTTCATATGAACACTCTCTAATCCATCTAGCTCTTTGTTCCTTTAAGAACATTTGAGCCTTGCCGTGTTGCTGCCACAATCAGAGTGAGACCTCAGGTCTTTTGCAGTTCTGACTACCTCAGCGTCTGTGTATTAAGCAGTTTCTTCGGCAAAAGTGTCATGAGTCCCTAATGGATGAGTCGGAGTGCGATGAGTCGCCGACTGAAAGATCTTGTTTGTATTTTAAGCAACTCAGACACTGGTTGTCTGCTCACAGAAAAACACCCTCATTCTATAGGTCCTGCTACTTCTCAGTGGAGTTTCCTATGCTTAAAGACGCACGACACTACCTCCTGTGTGTGTGTCTCTGTAGAACAATTCTGTATCTTTTTGGCTCCATTGCAATCAAGCGCGACCTTACTAACTTTCATTTCCTTACCTTTACGGCCAGGCGTGTACACAAAACTATAAAGTAGGAAGTCATTTGCGTTTTACTGCCCCAAAAACAGCAGTAGGACTTGCATGCAATTTCCGTGGTTAAAAAGGAGAAAAAAAGAAGAACAAAAAGAAAGCTAAATAACGACGCACATAAAAATTCCAAAAGTCAAGTTGTTGCTTTGTCGGGCCAGAAATGTAATGTTCATTTGCCGCAACCGTACAAAGCAGTATTGCTTTGGTCGCTAAAACAAATAGAGGCATACAATTGGGCGCTAGTAAAAATGGTAATTTTAGGAGTGAAGCTTAAGCTGTTGGCTGGTGCATACATATACATACACATGCATTTAAACAACTAGATATGTGTGTATTGTTAGAGTCAAAGTTGGCTTTTGCGCGAAATTGTCTCACTTGGCTGGCTAAGCTGGCGCTAATGTGCCAAATATTACCGTAGTTCACATATACATACATACGTACGTATGTGTGTGTGTGTGCAGCAGTTCCGTCTTTCGGCTCATACGTTTTGTAAATGTATATGTTTGCTGTTAAACAATTGTATATGCCGTTATGCCTTTCCGCTGTCGCATTTCATACCGGCATTTTTACGCCTAAATGTATGCAACGCATAATGTTTGTTTGGCAGCAATTCGCTGGCATATAAAGGTAACCGGTGAGCTTTTGATGACCATCGTCGGTGTATGTAGAAGCGCAGTTTACAACACATTTCGAGACAAATACAAATAAATACAGGGTGATCTGGAAACCCTGGAAACGTTGAGTGGTATCAACGCATAGCGAAACTTGGGTCACAGTGAAAAGAGTAAGGGTGTTACTGGAGCCGTTAAGACACTTTAATTTTATACTGCTACGTGAGAGTTGATTATGCGTACTTATCGCTTGAAAATCCCCTCTTATAAGGATAAGGGCATATATAGAAGCTCACGCAAGTGGGAGTGGGAGTAGTAAGAAACAATTCTTTTACATACGTTTCAAGTAGCTCATGACTTTGGGTCTCAGGCCAAATATCCTTTGGGTAGCCAAGAAACTTTAGTTTGGAGGCAAGCTAAGTTAAAAAGGCGAGAACCGTGTAATTGTGCTTATATAAGCCTCGGATGAGAGACGTTTTCTGGTAACGTTTTAAAGATCATGGTTAGAGGGCATGTCACTAAAGTATGCCGTACCTTAATTATGTAGGTACCACCACCTGCTTTATTGATGTTTTTTTTTTATATTTAAATCTGATATCACCAACATCCGGAGAATGTGATGCTCAAGATGAGGGCGAAAGAAGGTAGCTCCTTGTGAAATCTGCTACACCGGCCATAAAGAAGAGCGTAAACATTTGTTATCGGCTTAAGAGATTCAGATGCTGCGTTCCCGGTAGATTAGCATTCAGCCGCAATCCACATAAGAGCCTAGTATTTCAACTCGAAGAGAATGATGATGTGCTCAGAGTTGTTTTCAAAGAGCATATGTAAAGCTTTCTAAAAGCAACTGGGAAGCACCCATGAGTGCGCTGCCTCTGTAATGCTGAGCAGTAGGCAAATATGGTAACTTTAGCTTAATAGTAAGCGGTCTGAAATTAGTCCATCTCCCCAGAATTAGCAGTAAAACCAGATTTGCTGGAAAAATCCAGCAATGTACTTGGCTCTCACTGGATTTAAAGAACCGAAAACAAATGGATTATATTATGATAGACGAAAGACACGTCTCTAGTATTCTAGAAGTGCCGGGCACTTAATATCGATCAACAACATCGAAAAGCTGAGACAATATAGTCGAGCATTTTTTTACTGGGCTGGCACTCCTGCTCTCTGAGAGTACTTAGCCCATGATATGAGCTGTAATTTGCTTGGAAATATAAAATATAGCAACTGAGGCTACAAACGAGAAATTATTAATTTTATTAATATAAAAATAAAAATTAAAAATAAAAAAAAAAAAATTTATTAATGAATTTAATATTAAATAATTTTATTAAAAATCCTTGGCACCCTGTAAGCACCCGACTAAGTCGAAAAAAAAAAATTGCAACACCTTTTGGCTCATGGCGTGCCAAGTAATACTCATATTACAACCAACAACAACACCATGTAATGTTAAACACATAAAAGGGCAACAACGTGAGCGGTAATGGCAAAATGGCGGCATTCAGTTTATACACACACACACACACACATGTACATTAAAATATTTACACTCATACAAGCGTTAAATATTATTACCAATGCCAGTGCCGTCGTTGGCGTGGTCGTCATCATCATCATCATCATCAGGAAAGTATATGACCATGACCATAACCACGACAATGTTGGCCAATATGACGACAACAATAACAACAACTGCCGGAACAACAATGCAAACTGTATCTATGCATGTGTGTATGTGTGTGTGTTTGTGTGCCATAAACACGTACACAGCAGCAAGTAAAACAACTCATAAATGTAAATATGTGGTGGGTGTACATACATATGTGTGTAAGTATGTATGTATGTATTTTGGTAAGCAGGTGCTAGAAAAAGCCAATATGCAATTTCGAGAACATTGAGTGTTCCGACAAAAGGTCGCTGGCTTTGTGTTCTGCCCTGAAAACTGGCTGTTTATGCTTTTTCGTTTTATTGCCAGTATGCCACGTAGTTAGTTGTGGGCACTAAAGCTACAAGGACATTTACACCGTATTGGCTGCGGTAATTTATATAAATATGTTTTATATGAGTATTTCGATTTCTACATATCGAAAATATTTTCGGTCATATAATTATAATTGAATAGCTATAGAAAATATTCGGATAAATTGACAGCATATTTAATACTATGCGCCTAAATATCGGCAAGATTTCCTTGCGCTATGTGAGCTGCAAGGTGTGTGGTGTGACTGAAACGTTGCCTACATTTAGCTGCAGATTTTTATACTTTTTGTCGAATTTTATATATATATATATTTTTTTTTTCATTTATAACCTTTTTTATTTTTTTGAACTAAAATATTTCTTTACCAACCAACTTCGGGCTCACTTTAATTGCTGCCAAGTATATTAAAAAGGTCTCCAAGCGCAGTTGGCAAGCAGTTAATGCCCAACATATACATTTTGGGCAAAACATAATTTCCTATAAATGTTAAAAATGTTTCGTTCTCAATGTGTATATTTTTGTATCGGTTCGGCACTAGTTCAAAATCAGTTAGTTCAGTACCAGTTGGTAAGTGACGCGGGGATATCTCAGAAGTATTCTGAAACCAGCTGGGAAGTAGAGCGACAAGAGGCAGGTTTTATATTAATAATATTTTGGCACCCGTTGAAGACGGTTCTACAGCATGATTCAGGTGTATTTCAGTATTAAGCTACGATTACAATGTGATTAAATGTAATTTTCGGAAATACAAAGCAAAGCAAAAATACTTTAAAATTTAATAGTTTCATTTAAAAAAAAATTTGCTATTAGAAATGGACCACTTCAAAACTGGTTCGAAATCAACTAGTTTAGGAACAGATCAAATTATGTTAAGGTATATTTTAAAACTGCTTCGAGCACAATGCCGAACTAGCAGGGTCCATATTAATGCTATTGTAAGAGTAGTAGAGATCTATTTCGTTACTAGTTTGGGACTAGTATCAGAAAAAAAAATTACTACGTATTGTCTGATTTCATTTGGGAATGTGATGTAATAAGTTCGAAAATATATAACAGCAAACTTTTGTTTTGGAATATGACGAAAAATGTTTATAAATAAACTAGTCCGCACTAGTACCAAATTACACCATTTCAATGAAAAGCAAACTAAAATTCTTCATAATCCATGCATTTATTTCGAAACATCGCCTTCAAAACACCATGCCATCCCATTTGATCACCACATACATCAAAATCAAATATAGCGATGCAACAACAATATTAACGAGCATTATCGAGAAACCCACCAAGAAAAATTTGCGAAATGTTAACTTATACAAATGCTTGTTCGCCACACCCGCCGTCACAATATTCGCCGATGCGCCAATAAGTGAGCCATTACCACCAAAAGCAGCACCCATCACCAGAGCCCACACCAGCGGCGCCAATGGCAAAGCCAAATGTTTGATTTGCGCAATCGAGACCACAACGCGTACCATCATTTGAGTAACAGGGTTGTTATTGAGGAAACACGAAGCAAAAGCGGTAACCCATAGGATGAGCATGAGTGCCACCAGCAGCTGTAGGCTCTCCGGTGTGCTCTCGATAGCTTTAATTATGTTATGACCGATGATATCCTCGAAACCCAGCTGAGAGAGCACTTCGATGAGCACGAAAAATGATGAGAGAAACATCAGCGTCGACCACTCGATGCGGCACAGGAGACTCTCGTAATCATTGATGTCGGCGAGTATGAGCAGCAGTATGGCGCCGAGTAGCGCAGTCCAAGAGAAACCGATAACATTGAAATACTCAAACGAGCGCAGCATGAAGATCGTCATTATAAATGTCAGCACAGCGACGCATTTGATCAGCAGCACCTTATCGATTGTGCCATGCCGTTTCTTCAACTCGGCCAGCGTGCGTTGGTAATTGTATGTCTTCTCCTCGGCGGGCTTCGGCACACCCTGTATGCCCTGGCGCATCTTACCGATTGCCCGCTCGATGACATTGCGTATGCGACGATCGTCCGCCAAAAAGCTGCCGAGCGCACTCGAAGCGCGGCGCCAACGTTGAATGCCACGATTTAGCAACTCCTTCTGCACGCTTGGCGATTCGCGGTAGTCGAGCAGACGCGAGTGTGTTGAGTAGAAACGTAACTGGAAGTAGGTCTGCAGCAGCACGAGCAGTGTGCATGGCGCCATATTTATGACGAAAGTGCCAAATGTAATGCCGTGTTTTTGTAGATAATCGTTCGTTGTTATAATAATATTCGGCGGACTGCCGAGTGGCGTAAAGGCGGCGCCGACGTTGGCACAAATCATGACGTACGTGAGCACCGAAACTGGATTCATGCCGGAGACCTCGCAGAGTTTGATCGTGATCGGTGATGAGAGCAGCATTGTGGTGCTGTTATTGAGAAACCCCGAGATTAAGCTGATAAAGAAGCACAAATTCATAATGAGCCGAAAGACGCTGCCCTTCGAGAGCTGATACGCGTAAATTGCTACAAAGTCGAACATGCCCGCATCGGATATGATCGCCACAATGATCATCATGCTGAAGAGCAGCGTCAGCATCGGCATATCGATCCAATCGAGTATCGTATCGAACGATGGCTTCGGATTCAAAATCGAGAGTATGGCCAATGCGAAGGTGGAACAAATCAGCGAAGAGAGCGTCGGATTGGTTACCTCGAATATGAAGAGCGCATAGAGCAGCAACAGCACGAGTAGCGTGAAGAGCAGTCCCTTCTCCGTCGGCACGGGCAGCCAATCGTAATTATATTTGAGGGTGACAATCTCATTGTGATTCGTGTACATGCGCAGGAACATGCGTGTGTAGTTATCCTTCGAGATATTCTGCCACAAGGGCATTATCGCATAGCGCACAGTCGGTACGATCCTTTCGATTTTATCACTCGTATCCAAGTACTCACGCCACAGATCGGCAATTTTCACAGTTATAATCGCTGTCATTTTGCTATTGTAGAAAATGCGCTCCGCCTGAATATTTAGGAAGCTCGCTTCATTCTCTCTGCCCGCATAGACGAGATCGCCATCCTGCAGAAAGGGTCCATATATGGACAGCGATATTGATGTGTCCGTTATATTGGGCACTGGTATGACCTTCTCCTCGTGCGGCTTGATCGAAATCAACTTCGGATTGCTGGGTAAATCTCTGTAGATAATAAATTGCACCGTGAACATTAACCAGACCATAAAGAGCCCAATCGGCTTCAACCAGGCGCGCTTAACTTGTATGATGTCCTCGATTTGTAGCTCAGGCAAGTCGGGCTCGTGATGTTTAACCATCGACTCGAAGTTTCTCAACGCCGCCTTCTGCACATCGGTCAAATGTATGTCCTCCTCGATTATCTTGTCTACATTGCTATGCGCTTCCGGTATACTGACCTTCTTTTTGCCGGATCCTGTCTCCGGCAAACTCGCTTGTGATGTGAGATTCTGTGAAGACGTGGGCGTTAGGTGATCACTGGCAACCGCAGCTGGTTTTAGTGACGTGTTAGTGCGCGGCGGTGATATGGTAATCAATGGCGTTTCAGTAGCTGGTGGTTTAGGCGGCTGCTCTGGTGTATTTGCACCTGGTGCTGCTGCTGCTATCGACGCCGCTTCTTCAACAGTGTATTGCGTGGCTGCACGTTCAGCTGGGGTTCTGTTATCAGCTGTAGGCTCTGGTGGCGCTTCAAAGTCGTACACTGATGGCACAGGGGTCACGCGCATTCCTGTCGGCATACCTTCTTCATCCAATACATGCTTTCGTAGCGTTTCCGCTGAGGGTACTGGCGTTGGTGGCATGCCCGATGGCGGTACGACCTCTGCCATGTCTAGTCTTCGTTGCATATGCTCTGAGGGCACGGGTATTTGTTGCTGCTCCGTCTCGAATTCAATGGATTCTTCGCTAGACGACTTTTCTGGTAGTTGCGGCGGTGGCGGTGTTGATTGCTTTGGCTTTTGATCATTATTCTGTTCATCCATTTTGGTTTGATAAGTGATTTCTTTCCAGTTACGTGTGTGTTGGAGGAAAATTATTTTCAATTGAAGTAAAATATTTTCATCTATTTTTCGTTTGCTTTCTTCTTGACAAATAGCGCACAAGTAGTTGGTGTTTTTCGGCTGGTTTTGGGCTTATGTGCGTACTTAACGGCAGTATAGAAGGGGACTTCGACTCGTGACAGAGTTCAAGCTTTGGGTGGGAGATCTATAGCATTGAGGTACTATGGGGCTTCCCGTTCCCAAAGAAGTTTTCAGATTCAATCGCTTTGAGCGACAAGATGGGAACGTTCCACACGGACAAGTTGAGAATCTCATCTACTTTACTTATGACTGGGTTGGTCCCAACCGATCGCTTCTAGAGTCTGAAGATATCGTTTCTAAGTCCATGTCAGTGTCCTCTTATATATTAAGTCCTTGAAATATCAGAGTTTTAAGGGAGGGAAAACCGCGGTATCTCGGAGTGACTCAGATCTGCAAAAGCCTTCGTCGTTTGATACGTGTGGTGAAAGACCGTCTAGACGTCTCGTCAAAGGTGTTTATATGGGAGCAACATTTCCCATCTCACAAGCTGAGGTCTGAAGGCGAGAGCCTTCGTCAATATCGTTTGTTAGGAGCTTCCGTGACCCAGTAGGCTAACGAAATTCGGCAAAAGTGCTCTGATACCTCTGTAAAGTAATTGAAGTAAGCCTTTACCACTTCTTCACCATTTGATATCTTTGTCCAATTCTGAGTAGGACTTCACCTTCGGTCAGGCTGACTAAGCTCGCAAGCGTTTTCATCTTCTGATAGGTCTGGTTATAGTCGATTTTGTCCTCTGGTATGTTTACTCTAAGTCGCTTGTTAGGTTACCCCGAGACCTATCAAGCTGACCAAATACTCTAAGCGATTTAGAGTCTTATAGCTGTGGTCGAGGTCTGTGTCTTGAGAGGCCCTATGCTTCCTTTCGACTTGAGGTACAATCCAAATATGCTCTAATAGATGCCTATGGCAGTCGGAATGGGATGCTTACTCACCCCGATCCGTGTACCCTTTCTAATGGTGTTTGTGCTTAGCATAGGATTACATTTAGTGCCTTATCCAAGCAACGTTTTGTGCAAACTTCCTCTCTCTGCAGTTTTTGGTTTGTGTCTAGCTTCCAAAGCAAGCCTTCATCGCTTCGACCGTTATATGACTTTTTTTCCTAGTTATTTGGGCTCATGGAATGATGGTATGTTTTGGCGCTGGAAGAAAAGGAAAGTGGAACAAGACAACGCTGGTTTTCCTCGACTCCGCCAATTTAGACTGCCGTCCAGTCGGTGGTGGGGGGGTTAAGAAAAATGAGTCCTTGTAGGGCAAAACGGTTCAGTCGAAGCTCTTGACCAGCTAGGGATCTGTTTACTGCACGTTTCCGTCTGGCCTCGACAACATCTTTAGCTGGCTTTGGCGCTTATTCTCTCTAAAATTTCAATCGCCGAAAAGCAGGACCTCTGAGTTCTAGATTCAGCTCCACACATCGAAGTAGATTGTACAGAAACGGAATTTGCCGCAGAGTGCGGGTAGAACTTTACGCCAGCACTTGCTCTCTGTCACTACTTGCTCTGTCCGAGCCTCCTTGGACCCAGCTCATGGTAGAACATTTCCCTTAGGGGGCTACTGGGAGTTGCTTTCCGTCAGATAAACAGGGAATTAAGGTAAATATCAGTCCTTTATTTTCCCCACTCAGCTACAACAATAACAAAAACAACAAAGCTTAATCATATATGTGTATAGGCGGATCATGCCACTCGAAGATAACGTGACACAAAATTAAATACAACGAAGTAACAACAATATTCGACAGCATAACGGGAAAGCCCAGAACGAAGAAAGTGGTGAAGGAAAACTTGTAGCCATGTTGATTTGCGATGCCAGCACTCACCACATTCGCCGAAGCTGCGATTAGCGTGCCATTGCCGCCGAAGCAAGCGCCCATCGCCAGCGTCCAGACTAAGGGGTGCAAGGGCAGCTGCAGGTCTTCATCCTTTGCCAACGAAATTACAATGGGCAACATCATAGCCGTTACAGGGATGTTATCCAGAAAAGCCGACGCAAGTGCCGACACCCAGAGTATGAGCATGAGAGCAAGTAGCAAACGATATTTCTTATCCACCAACAAAATGAGTTCCTGTACTTGCGCGCCAATCAGGCCGATTAGACCTATCTTCACCAGCACCTCCATGACAATGAAGAGCGAAGCGAAAAAAATGAGCGTCGACCATTCAACGCGATGCAAAAGCGCCTCAAAATCGGGAATGTTCACAAGTGCGAGTGCCAGCAAAACTCCAATGAGCGAAGCCCAACCGAGCGTGAGTTGATGGAGGCCGTGTACGCTGTGCAGGAGAAATATCAAGAGCACGAGCGTGAAGCAAATCGAGAGTATAATCAGCAGCGACTTATCCTTAATGCCGTAGGTGGACTTAAGCTCCGCTAAGATCGTATGATATTCCGGCGCTGAGGTCAATCTGCGCTGAAGTTCCACTAAAGCCTTCACCGATTTACGCCGCATATCTTCCTTATCCAGCGCACCATCCATGAAAGTGGTAGCCTTAGAGAGACGTGCTGTTTGGCGCGCAATACGCTGTAGACCCTGCTCTAAGGGTGACTTTAACTTCAGTTTCTCCTCATCGCGAAACATGAAGCGCAGCAGCAGGTGTGTTTGAAGCATAACCAGCGCGACGCAAGGCACACAGTGCAGCAGGAAATTGCCAAATGTGACGCCACTCTCACGTATGTACTGATTAGTTGTGATAATGATATTCGGTGGATCACCAATGGGCGTGCAAGCGGCGCCAATATTTGAGTAAATAACCATAAAAGTCAACATCAACACCGGATCGAGCATGAGTGCCTCACACAGGCGTATAGTGATGGGCGCTACCAACAGCATCATTGTGACGTTATCAAGAAAAGCCGATAGCATAGCAGTCGAGAGACACAAGCTCGTCAGCAGCGGCCAGACAAAACCCTTGGAGATCTGATATGCGTAAACGGCGCAAAAGTCGAAAATGCCCGAGTCAGAGAGCAACGCGATGAGTATCATCATGCTGAAGAGCAACAGCAGCGTCTCAATATCCACCCAGGACATAATCTGTCTAAGCGTCACATTGTAGTCATAGTTGATGAGCAGCGAGATGGCAAGTGTTGCGCAAAACACCGAAGAAATCGTGCGTTCAATTATCTCAGTGACGATCATGGCGTACATCAATATGAGTATGAATGCGCCAGCCAGTATTCCGTCGGCGTGCTTAGCGACATATTTATCTAGCTTCAATTTCAGCGTCACCTGCTTGGTCGTCGTCATTGATAAGCGCAAACTCTGATTGAGTGGCGTATTCAGTCTGAAGACGTGCTTCTTCTCCGTCGAGGTTAAATGCTCGCTATCACCTGGCTTCAAGTAGAGCGTCCAATCATTGCAGAGCTGTTCTTTGCTCTCCGCTTCGGTCACAACACTCATTGTCACAACATCCATTTGTGTGCCTGCCGTCGCTTTTTCATCCTCATCGAACGGTCCCACCACCAGCACGCCAATACGTGTATCTACATCTTGCTGTGGTATGAGATAAGTGCGCGCCTGGCTCGGTTCGATGGTGAAGAGTCGCGACTCATCTGCAGTAGGCTGCTTTAGCGCCATGCAAATGACGATCAACAGCCAGAGCACTAGAAACACGATAATTTTAATGTTATTCAGCAGCACTTTCCACGAAAAGTCTATGCCGTTTTTTGAGGCGAACATCAACAGGAGGTTTCTTCTCGTCGCTGGCTCTTCATTCTCCGCATAACGCTGCTGGCCCGCTTCGAGTCGTGGCGCGTGTTTGTTGTGTGAGTTTGCTGCATTGTTGTTCTTGCTGCAGTTTTTATTGGATTTTGCGTGGAGTGTGAAATTAGCGCTGTTGTTGTTGATCTGCGCGTCGTGTTTGCGCGTTGCGCGAATGGGTGTTGCAGGCAGTTCTTGCGTCATTCTTTTTGCTGGAAGGAGTTTTTTGAATATTTTTTTTTTTAATTTTTCTATTTTTGGTATTTTTTATTTTAAAAATTTTTGGAATTTTTTTCGTAATTAATTTGATTGTTTTGAAAATTTTTAAATTCTATTTGACGTTATTTATTTATTTTTTTTTGTTGACGTTATCTACTTTGCAAACTTTTTTAACTGATTTTGTGGAAGAAACTGAAAAAAGAAAGAGACAAGAAAAAAGCTGTGGCGGGAATACAATTCACATTTTTAAATTACAGAGAGAGAATTTTTGTATTTAATGGCTGACTGAGTTAAAGATTCATCGGTTTTACTCAAAAAAACATTTTTATGGTTCGTCCTTAAAGCGTCCCGTTTAAAGCTTTCATTTAAGTTGAGGCAAGCGTTTGAGTACAGCCAATTCATTGCTGACACTTTAACTCTGTCTTCATTGTTCCTAATCCCAAATCTCATTTCACTTTCACTCTAATTGCTGATTTAACACAAATTTCAAAGGAAAATATCTCTCTCAACCGACTCCTTTGGCATAAATGAGTAGCATTCAATTTTAGCATTTCATTATGTGTCATCAAAGAGAGAGAGACATAGAGAGAGAGAGAGAGAGAGAGAGAGAGAGAGAGAGAGAGATGATGGGTTGTGAGAGATTGTGTTTTTGTAATTAGTATAAATGCGGATTATGAATAAAGATGCTAAGCACGTCGTGCAATTAAGTGTGAAATGTTAATGAGGTCAATAAGTCAGTGAGATTACATATACATATATGTTGTGTATATATATTAGTACACATAATTAACGCATTTATATGTGCATATACATATTTACTTTACATTCAAAAGCTTGGTAGTCCACATATTTACATAAACTGTGTGCCTTTCATAGTGCAAGCATTTCCTTTATTCTCTCTTCGCTGACTCGTTAGAGAGGTCAGAGGACTACCCTGCGGGTTAGGGGCTCAAGAATTTACCCGCGGTAAGGCATGCCTGTCGTAAGAGGTGACTAAAATCCAATAGTTCCCGCGACAGTCGAGTCTTTTTACCGGAA